CCCCTTAGCACCTCCTACTTGGAAGGCGCACAACGCTAATATCTCCTGTTTAACGGCGCTTGCTGCGTGTATCCTCTCGGTTAGGGTTTGGATCTAAAATGTCTCCAAAGAGCTCGTGTGGAAGGTGATTGGATTTCAGGGTTCTCTACTCTGCGGTGGATTCCTGCATATATGGGTTCCGGGCTGACTGTGCCGTTAGAAGGTGCGGCCTGGCTGGACGTGGTCCCTGAGGTGTGACCTGGAAGGGCGTGGTCTCATCTCAGGCTCCTCCTCTCTGTGCTTCCTGGCTGCCATGGGCTGAGCAGCTTTCTGTCACCAGGCCCTTCCTCCCTGTGTTTGTGCCTTGGAGCCACTGGCCGCGGACCGAGCCCTCTGAAACCATGAGCCGAAAAAGTCCTCTCCTCTAAATGCAGGGTGTTACTTTGCCACAGTGACAGGGGGTGACTGACACTGCATCCAAAGCCCTCTGGTCTCTCTGCCAGCCTTGGGGAAGTCAGTCGGTAGAAAGGCAGGCTGGGATTTGGACCCTGTGCAGAAGTTCTCCGGGTGTCACTATGTTGTCTTGCAACTCGAATTCTACCACTCCAGATGAGGTGTGAATACGTCGTTCTTCACGAGTGAGAAACCAAGCATGTAGTCTGCCTGGGACCCCAGAGCCCCGTCTGTCATAGCTACCCTGCTACCCCAGACCCTGAGTGGTGCCCAGCCCAGGTCTGACCCGAGAGCACAGATAGTGCAGGGTTCAGCCTGACAGGATCCAGCCCTCCTGAGTCCCGGTGCCCCCAGTGGCCCCGGCTGGGTTCCCGGCAGCTTCCCAGCACACTGTAGATAAGGGTGGACTCTACAGCCCGGATGTGGGTGCTACTGGTGCCAGGAACATGCCAGATACCCGGATATTAGTGTCAGATAATCCAGGACCATTCCAGGATGAAGTCACTGCCCTGACCTCCTCCTGTCCCAGAGCTGAGGGATCTTCGCTGCTACCCAGGACCATACTTAGGCCACTAAGTCGACAGTGGCCTGCTCTGTGCAGTCGTGGGTCGGTCCACCTCTCTGGTCTCACAGAACCTTGGGCTGGGATCCCACACCGGGACCTGGGTGTTCCGAGATGGACAGATAGCAGGGTCCTGATCATCTTTCTGGGCCTTCCTAAGGCTTGGCCTGTAATTTAGCTCATTTAATCCTCAGACGGGCTTCCAAGGTGCCTCTGGCTCCGTTGTACAGATAACGACATCAAGGGGAAGTTGAAAAACTGCCCTCGTTCTCACATTTGTTCGGCAGCAGGGCGGAGATGGAGCCCAGGGCCCAGGACTGGAGAGCCTGGTCCCCCAGCCTGGAGCATCACCTACCCTGCCATACACTGGGCTGGGGTGAGGGAACATTTGCACCAGTATGCACAGGGAGGGCTGGAGGCCAGAGCCGCAGGGCAAAGTCCTGGGGTGGAGCTGCACACAGATGAGGACGGGCTGGACAGGGAGCCTGGGACTGGGAAGGTGAGGGCGCCTCCTGCCACCAGAGACTGCTCACTCACAGGGACGCCAGCAAGCCGGCCCTTGGGCTTCGATTGAAGTTGAGCCTCTGTGCCCCGCAGGGCCTGGAGGCGAGGTGGCGCAGGCTCCACCGTCCTCACCAGGCTGGCTCCAGGCCCATCTTGTGCTGGGGGTGTTTGGGGTCGCCGTGGTGACCGGATCAGTTCCTGTATGTTCCTGGGTTAAGAGAAAACCAAACAAGGAGAGGCTCCTATCTCCCCGGGCAGCGAGGTGTGCGGGGCCACCAGGGACACGGCTTTGGGGAGAGGGGCCCAGCTCTCTGCTGCCGTGGCTCGGCTGGTGGCGTGGGACCCAGACCTGCAGGGGAGACCCGGCCACTCTGTCTCCAGGAGGGACTTGGCCACTCAGGGTTTCATGCCGGGGAAGGGGACCGAGGGGCCACATTGCAGGGGGTATGGGGGGTCCCTGCAGGGCGGAGGTAGAGCGCCCTGCGGAGCCCCAGCTAAGCAAAGGCCGACCGCTCAGCCCACTTGCAACCTTTGCCCGACGAGGAAGCACTCGGCTCAGCACCTCCTGGTCTTCCCAGGGATCCACCAGGTAGCGAGGGAATCGTTCTGTGGTTAGAGTACAGGTGTCCGGGGCAGCTACTGTTCGCCGTTCTGCCAACCTGGGGTGGTACTGGGGGAGCACAGTGAGGGGCACCGCATAGACCTTGGCCAGGGGCAGACATGAGGTCTGCCCGTCCTGAGTGCCCGGGAGGCCTCGCCGGCACCCAGACCCAGGGTGGCCAGATGACACACAGGGTGCTGAGCAGGGTGAATTTCAGATCACCGCAAACGAACGCGAGCACTGTGTGTCCCAAACGTTCTGTGGGACACGCCCGCCGCTGGTCTGAGACCCGCACTGAGCCGGGCCCCCCAGACCCTTGATACCCCAGTTGGGGCCAGACACACATCGCCGGTGTCTTCTCTTCTCTGCTTGCTGTCGCCCATGCCCATGCGCCCTTTCTTGGAGGTTCTCCTGGGCTGGGAGACCCGCAAACGTCTCGCTCCACCTGTGTGGGATGGTCCCTGCCGTAGTCGCTCCGCAGGCAGCTCTGGAGCCGGGGACGAGGCACCTCCCTGGGGGGTTCTGATTCTGCAGGTCTGGAGGTGACATCAGCTATTGGCATTTTTGTAGGTTCTGCCGTAGAAACTGTCACCAGGGAAATAACTGCAGTGTCTTGTCACAGCTTGCCAGGAGCGCCACGCCCCGGCCTGTTTACACTGTGTCCCAGAGATAGAGCCGCAGTCAGGAGCTTCACACCTGGGTGAAAGTCTGCCTTCCTGTTTTCCCTTCACACTTGCATTTTGGAAGTCTCTTTCAGGTCAGAAACAACTTCAGAGTTTGGGTCCCTGAGACCACAATGATGAAAACAGCATACGTCACTTTCCCCTTGCCTGCTAGGAGACTCAGAGCAAGATTTTTATGTGAATTCCAGGACTCTTCCTAAATCAGGATTTCTGATACAAGAAATTCCTGCTCTTTGCCAAGCAAATCCAGGTGGATTTCATTAGGCTATGGCTGTTCTTTTGTGTGTCCCGGTATAAATAGCTGCCTCTGTCCTTCGCAGGGGAATGCGGAGTACAGAGCCACCCTTAGACTCCTGGAGCTGGGTGTGAGGCGTGGCACACAGGCACGGCCCTCCCTGACTGCAGAGAGCTGGAGGATCTTGATCCCCAGTGGGTGAGTGGCTGGCAAGAATGTGCTGACTCACCCATGACTCGGTTTCTCTCAGGGTGGAGGAAAGGAAGGGTGAACAGTGCGGCTTAGTAGGAAGCCTGTGAGGACAGCTCCTCCGTCCTGCCGAGGGCTGAGGGCCAGGGATGCGCTGGCTCCTCCCTGGGGACCGGTTGGTAGCCACCAGGATAAGGGGCATTTGGCACCTACATGGCCACCAAGGTCCTAGTTTTGGAGATGCCTTAGGACCCCTGGCCCTAGGGTGGAGGGCCAGCACGGGTCCCGGCCACAGCTCCAGGAAGAGCAGACAGGGTGCCCTGGAACTCCCAGAGGATCCTTGCTCTGTGGAGCTGTGCCGAGGGCTTGGGGTGGCACGGATGTGACTGTGCGGGGTCCCAGGCCCCACGGATCTCACTGCCCTTAGCCATCCTCCGCCCCTGGGAAAACCAAGTCAGGGTCTTGGGGCTGTGCTCCAGAGGGAGGGTAAGAGCCACTGGGGCTTCTTCTAGGCAGAGCTGCTAAATCTACTTTCGTGATGGCAGCTGGCCTCTAACTCAAGGCCATCCTCCTGCCTCAGCCTCCCGAGTGCTGGGATCACAGGTGTATGCTACCACACAGAGTTTACTTTTAATTTCTTATACTCAGATAATGGCCAAAGGGATTAACTTAATGTTGAACTTGTAGTTATGTATTTAAGGGGAGCAGAGTATTCAAATTTGGAAAATTTAGAGTCTAGCCACTAAAGAATGAAAAGGGGTGTCCACCAGGGAAGGACGAAACCTTTCAGATGACTTCTAGGCAGCCTGTCCCATCATAGACCCAGAGTTCTGGGGAGCGTGATGGCTTTGGGGTCCTGGCCTGGGGTGCCCTTCATGGCTCCCTTGGATTCTCTGCTATCCAAATTCTTGCACAGGGCTGCTGGGCTGCCCCAGTGGGACCTAAAGACTCCAGGTGTGGCTGAAGCTATCACTCCTGAGGGTGTGAGTGTAGGCCTGGGTCCCGCCTCTCTTGGAAGGGAAGCTTGTCCTCCAGACAGGAAGTAGTCATCCCAACAGGAAGTAGCCCTCCAGACAGGAAGGAGCTCTTCAAAGAGGGAACTACAATGTCTGCCCCACTCATTTCCCCTGCCCTTTGTCCTTTTCCTTTCTTTGGGATGAGAATGTCCCCTGTACCTGTCCTGCCCCCTTGCTGGAAGATAACTGTTCTGATATTAGGGGCTCATAGCTGCAGGGAGTTTGCCTTTAGCCCCAGGTGACACTTGGCACTTGGGACTTTTGAGTGGATCCTGGAATCAGTCATGACTTAGGACCTATTCTTGGAACTGGAGAGCTGCATTTTATGTAGAAGGTCCCAGTGAGTTCTGGAACCAGGGTGGGATGCTGTGGTTTGTCACCACCCTCACTCTGCCAAGGTTCAGTCCCTCAGTGTGGCAGATGGGGGAGGTGGAGACTCATGGGTGTGTCTGTCTGGGTCATGCCCTCAGTAGTGGCAGAGGCCTTCCTTATGGTGTGACTTCTGCTGTCCAGGGGCTGAGTTAGTTACGGGGGGGGGGGGCGGGGGGGTGGGAAGCAAGGGCATTCTTGTGC